GGAAGAGAGAGAAATTCTTCAATGCTCGGGTATAAAACCAGACTCGAAGGAAACAAAGATGGGCCTAGAAGCCCAGCCCATTCCCGGGCCCGCCTAAAATTTCCTGATCCAGTTCTGATTAAAATAATGGCGGCGGCCAACCTTTTTTAGACCCGGAATTTGTGAAGCGTAGCAGCAGCAAGACAAATTCTCTCGTTCGTATTTTAGGAACGCCGTACCCGCGTCCACCTTCCGTCAACAGGCCGGCGGAGCTAGAGAAGAAACCCTATCCTTCCGCCGAATAGCTACTCTCCGGCGAGGTTTTCCGCCTGTTAGCCAGACGCAGAAGAGAATGCCGGGTACTGCTCTAGAGATGGAGCCAGTTGAGCCGCAGTCGCTGAAGAAGCTCAGTCTGAAATCCCTAAAACGGTCGCTCGATCTCTTCTCCCCGACTCACGGCCACGTCGCCCCTCCTGATCCCGAGAGGTTCGTTCGTTCGTTCTTCTTCTTCGCTTCTGCAATCTAGTAGCTGAACTTCTTCCTCTTGAAATTGAATCTAATTGTGGTTTGTTCTTGGGGTTTTTTTCAGTAAACGAATTCGCACGAGCCACAAGGTTAGTTGAACATCTGGTTCATTACTTCGTCGATTAGGTATGGCTATTGCGGGTGTTTTATCGGTGCTGAAGCTTTTTTTTTTTACACTTCTTTTGCTGTGACGTTGCTTTCGTATTGTCTGAGCTTTGAACTCAGTAGCAGGTTTCTTTAGTTATGGGGTCTAATCTTAAAGTTTGGTTGACTCTGCAGGTTGCTATGGAGTATAAAGGGATCAAAAGTACTAATGATATCCCAAAACAAGGCAATCCCAGAGGTCAGGAGCCTGCAGCTCCTTCCAATGCTCTTGCCCTCCCTGGTACTGCTGTCTTCTTCACTTGGTTAACTGCTCATATTCTAGAGGTTTATGTATCTGTTTTCTGATTACTTTTGAGTGCTATCTTGGTTCGCCAGGGCCAGAGGGTTCTAGAGATCAAGGAAAGGGGGTGTCGGAGAATGCTCTTGTTGTTGGCCCAACTCTGCAGTCTAGGGGGAAGTGAGTATTGGTTTTAGGATTTCCGCTTGTATTTGCTTACAGAATTCGATGGCCCATATCAGTTACAGTACCGTTGTTTAGTTGGTCTGACGTTGTGAACGAACAGAGGGTTTACTTTTGATGCTAATTGCTAACCATGTTTGTTTATCAGGAATGAGGGTGGCCTTCCAGGCAAGAGCACAACTGTGATTCCTGCATCTAGTTCATCAAGGTATGTTTCTGTAATTTAATGTGTTTGTAGCTGTAGTGCTTCTCCGGAGAGATGTTAATTTAGAGGGATGCTGAAGTTGGTCTTGTATTTTCAATCTGATGAGCTTATCTTAACTTGCTATTTGTCTTTTTTTAATTCTTATAGGAACTTTTCTACTTCTGCAATAATAGAGAGAATCCCAAGCAGATGGCCACGTCCTGAATGGCATGCTCCTTGGAAGAATTACAGGGTAAAATGGTTTTGTTATTTGTATATACAAATATAGTGATCGCTTAGCTTTTACCAGAATTTATGTTGAAACTATGATATTGGTACTGCAGGTTATTAGCGGTCACTTAGGGTGGGTGAGATCCATTGCATTTGATCCCAGCAATACCTGGTTTTGTACTGGCTCGGCTGACCGTACAATAAAGGTATCATCTCCTGTTCCTATATCTTCTTGCGCTCCTTCTGTCTTGTGTCATTGCATGATCCTCTTCAACCTTATTTGTACCTTGTTGGATTCACCTCTTTATATCTATGTAAGATTGAATTTCTTTCTAAATCTTGCTCTTCGCCAACAGATTTGGGATGTGGCCAGTGGTAAGTTAAAGTACACATTGACTGGACATATCGAACAGATACGAGGTAAGTAATGAGATGAAATTACTGGTATCTCGATGGCCATTGTTTTTAAGTGCAGTGTTTGGTTAAATTATTAACATTTGTTTTCAGGTCTTGCTGTGAGCACAAGACATACATACATGTTTTCTGCTGGTGATGATAAGCAGGTTAAATGCTGGGACCTGGAACAGAATAAGGTGATAATTTCTCCTCTTCACTCTTACTTATCAAAACTCTCATGAAGCTCTTTTTGCTTATATATCCATCATCTATTTGTAGGTTATTCGGTCTTACCATGGTCATCTTAGTGGTGTCTACTGCCTCGCCCTTCATCCTACCATTGACCTATTGCTCACTGGGGGGCGTGATTCTGTATGCAGGGTATGTACTCTCCTGCATTCCAGATTGCTATGCACTATGTCATTTTGTCTGTGCTCTGTTCTTATGCCAGATAAGTGTGGTGTCTAAATTAATGAATATATGCTTTTGTTAGGTATGGGATATTCGCACGAAGATGCAAGCCTATGCCCTAGCTGGACATGATAATACAGTGTGTTCTGTTTTCACTCGTCCAACGGTACACTCTTGGTCCTTTATATTTTACCCCTTCTCTAATGCTGGCAATGTTCATATTTTTTTACTTATCTTCTTATTGCTTTCTAGGACCCTCAAGTAGTTACTGGTTCCCATGACTCAACCATTAAGTTCTGGGATCTCAGATATGGTGAGTTGAAATGGTATCCTTCAATATAACATTTACTGTTAATGTTGTCCTTTCGACACTATCTCATGTTTCTCTTGTACATCATATCTCCTTCATGGCAGGTAAAACCATGACAACTCTGACACACCACAAAAAGTCAGTGCGAGCCTTGGCACGACATCCCACTGAGTATGTGATTAGTATATCTCTAGTTTTCCTGTGTGATGGTTCTTTCTGAATTCTGACAATAGCTTCTCATGAATATTGGTACTTGGCTCCTCAGGCATAGCTTTGCATCTGCATCGGCTGAGAACATTAAGAAGTTCAATCTTCCAAGGGGCGAGTTTTTGCACAACATGCTGTAAGTTGTCCAATTCCCTAGTTAATTAAATTGCTGTCTACATAACATTCTGCGTAGGCCTTAGACTTGTAGGGTAGATTGGTTTTGGTTTCGGTCAACCGAAATCAAAGAAACAAGAATTTGCAGAACAGAAACAGTATTCAAATAAGTTCTAAAGATAAACAATCGTAACCAATCCAAATATTCGGTCATGGTTTAACCAAAATACAGTTTCTCACCCCTACTATAATTTGAGGGTTGGTTTGGGATGCTTAGGGATATATATTATGAACCATCATGGATTTGTCTGAAGTTGAGTCGAATTGTGTAGTTAACTACTTGACTACTTTGTTCTTGAGCAGCTCCCAGCAGAAGACCATAATCAATGCAATGGCGATTAATGAGGACGGAGTAATGGTTACAGGAGGTATTGTAACTGCTCATTACCAACTTTTACTACGGAACTTTAGTTCGAAACAGCTTCCCACAGTGTTTCTCTTCTCTTTCGCATCATTGCAGGAGATAATGGGAGCTTGTGGTTCTGGGATTGGAAGAGCGGTCATAATTTCCAGCAAGCTCAGACGATAGTACAGCCCGGTAAGTCAAGTTCTTAAACCAGAAAAATAACACAAATGAAAAACGGAAGAACAAGTAGAAATGGGTACTGATTACCTGGTGGTGCTGCCCTTTATTTTCAGGGTCACTGGACAGCGAAGCTGCCATTTATGCTGCCTCCTTCGACCTAACTGGTTCGAGGCTCATCACGTGTGAAGCTGACAAGACGATCAAGATGTGGAAGCAAGACGAGAACGCCACCCCTGAAACTCACCCGGTCAACTTCAAGCCGCCTAAAGACATTCGCCGGTTCTAGTCCGATCACATTCCCGTTCCATCATCGCCCCTCTGTTGTTTCTAATCAGTTGTATAAACCAAACGTTGTTGCTAGTGTTGTGTATTTGAATTGTTAGCAGTGGGAAACGAAAAGCTTGCTATAACGAGCACGCCGAAACTCTCGGTTTTAAAGCCAACTTCTGTGATGACTGCACGAGTATTGAGGTTCCTTTGCAACGTTGTATGGGGCTCGTAACGTAAGGTTAAATCCTTGGAATATAAAAACAGTGGAGTATACTTTGTTGAATCATGAAATGAGGGCAGATTCATGTGTAGGGGAAATCCATGCCTGTTTCCCCTTTCTAACGTTCTACTCCACCTTTTGCTGAATTGGGTCTGTTTTCCTGCCTAAGGATAGAAACTGGAAAGGCTTCCTGCATTTGCTCGTATCCTGCTATGTGAAAAAACTTTTCAATTTATAGACAACTTTTTGGCTATGAATTTCTTCCCATCTCGATTTCTGAACTGAAGTATAGGTTCTTTGGATTTATGAAGTTAATTAATTGTTGTCAGTATCGATCTCAAATTTTGTTTAGTAAAAGCAAGCATTGTTCCTGCCTCAAAATTCATGTCTAATAGTGACCTCATGGTCTGTTAAAATCGTAAGGGTTTAATAGTGTGAGGTCGTGGTCAGTTACAATTCGGCATGGTTCACAATTTGGTTTAACCGTGATAGAGTTGTTCTTACATAAGAGGAAAGTTGAATACGTTGTTCTTCAAAAGGTCGCAAGATGTTGCTTCTTTCTCTTATGCTATATAAACTCTAACAACAAAATTTCGTGTCAATCACATCTTCTACTAACTGTAAGTGTATTTGGTCCAGTTCACATCTTATGTTTATTTTTTCCCCTCTCTTTTTAATAAACTCATAAAACCAAAGATCAAACTAACACTACATTCAAATCAAATCGTTGCACACTGTTAAGAGTGACTAATTTCCTTTACATTCCTCAATTTTATTTATCTTCATTTTGGCACGCTCTTCTTTTTCGCGGGAAGGAAGGGAAGTGTGATGGTATTAAAAAAAAAACAAAAAAAAGAACAGAAAACAAAGAAACTTAATTAATTAATAAAAATAAATAATAAATAAACAGGCGGAAAGGGAGGTGGAGGAAGCAAACAAGACCAAGTGGCAGCCCCGCCCTCTGCCCGAAACACAAGCGCGAGCGATTATACCGCCACGAAAATTTCCCCCATGCATTTTTCCCCCTCTTCCTCTTCCTCTTCACCACCACCATTAAAGCACCTCCAAAATCCTTCACTCCTCCTTTCTGTTTCAATCTCCCCTCCTCCTTCCCTAATTTCCATTTCCCCAAAAAAAAAACATGACACCTCCGCCGCGCCGCCGCTCGATCCCCGCCGTCCGGTACCTCCTCGGCGAGCACCGCCTCCCCTGCTTCCTCGCCGGATTCGCCCTCGCCGCCCTCTTCTTCCACTCATTCCCCCTCTCCACCACCACCACCACGACCACGATTCTCCAGGCCTCGGATCCGGGCCGGGTCGCGGTGCCCGACCCGATTACCCGGCGGGTCCTGATCGAGGAGATGCCGGGTGCTACGGGGAAAGTGCCGCAAGGGCTGAAGAGGAAAGGGAACCGGATCCTGGTCACCGGCGGGGCGGGTTTCGTCGGGAGCCATCTCGTCGACCGGCTGATTGGGAGAGGGGACAGTGTGATTGTGATCGACAATTTCTTCACGGGCAGGAAGGAGAACCTGATGCATCATTTCGGGAACCACCGGTTCGAGCTGATTCGGCACGATGTGGTCGAACCGATTTTGCTGGAGGTGGATCAGATCTACCACCTGGCTTGCCCTGCCTCCCCTGTTCATTACAAGTTCAATCCTGTTAAGACCATCATATCCTTTTTTTACTGAATGCGCTTTGTTTTTACGCTGTCTCTGAATTTACTGTTACTGTTATCCGTGTGAAATGTTGGATCGTTTTGTTGTGAGTTAGATTGGGTGAATCTTTCTTTGGATTCTTGAATTGGATGATTTGGGTGTGTGCTGGGGGTTAAATGCCAATTGGGTCATGGAATCATTTCATGCAATGGATCACATCTAGTACTAAGCTGAGTGCGGTATCGAGACAACTGAAGTATCGAATTTCGCTCTGGTAAGTTGATTTCGTAGGATTCGAATGTAGTGTTTTGATTGTCTCGATATCGAGCTTAATGACGAATGTGAGTACTGAGGACTTTAGCCATGTTTCTTAGGCGGATTTGATTTGAGGTGAGTGACATTGTGGTTCAAGTAGGTGCAAACAATGTGGTAACGTGACTATGGTTGTGAATCGGGGATTTGGATTTCCTTGACTTGGATTTTCTTGGTGGGTTTGGTTTATGGGTTCACAAGACAAACGTGGCGGGAACGTTGAACATGCTTGGTCTGGCGAAGAGGGTTGGGGCGCGGTTCTTGCTGACGAGCACCAGCGAGGTGTACGGCGACCCGCTGCAGCATCCCCAGGTGGAGACCTACTGGGGCAACGTCAATCCAATCGGTGAGCGAGTTTTCTCCGAACTCATCTCGACGATCTGCGAGTCGTGGCATTATCCGAGTTTTTTTCGGTTTTCAATTGGGTTGTTGGTGGAGATTGTTTCAGGGGTGAGGAGCTGCTACGACGAAGGAAAGCGGGTTGCTGAGACGCTGACCATGGACTACCACAGAGGCGCTGGCATTGAGGTGAAAACGAATACCGTCTAATCCCCCACCTTGCATTGTGCTTTTGTGCTGCACGGGATGTCTCTGTAACTTGTTTGTCGATCTTATTCTCAGGTGAGGATTGCTCGGATATTTAACACATACGGGCCTCGAATGTGCATCGACGACGGTCGAGTGGTGAGCAATTTCGTGGCGCAGGCGCTGAGGAAGGAGCCGATGACGGTCTACGGCGACGGGAAGCAGACAAGGAGCTTCCAATACGTTTCGGACTTGGTAAGTAGGAAAATGCTGTCATTGTGGGGGGTGATTTTCGTTGCGGCATTTCATCGAACACGTTGAGCGCGTAATGGGAACAGGTAGAGGGCCTGGTGCGGCTGATGGAGAGCGAGCACATTGGTCCATTCAATCTTGGCAACCCTGGGGAGTTCACCATGTTGCAGCTAGCTGAGGTAAACAGTGGATTTGATTGATTTCCATTGGGCTTTCGAGGAGTAAGCTGGGCCTGGTGGAGTTGAATTGGGCTTTTTTTTATGCAGGTGGTCCAAGAGACGATCGACCCAAAAGCGAGAATCGAGTTCAAGCCCAACACAGAAGACGACCCGCACATGAGGAAGCCGGACATTACGAAGGCGAAGGAGCAGCTGGGCTGGGAGCCGACGGTGTCGCTCCGGAAGGGACTTCCGATGATGGTTTCCGATTTCCGGCAGCGCATCTTCGGCGAACAGAAGGCTTTCTCCGCTTGATTTTGTGGGTTGATGCGGAATCAGGCGTATGTTATTAGTGTAGCAATGAAATATGGAGTGATCTTGAGGATTAGAAATAATCTAATTATTAAGAAAAGAAAATGGTGTTTGTTCCGGTAATTAAATGTTTGGTAGATTTTCTTTTGACTGGTTTTGATCATCTTTTTACCCCCTCCTTTGTTTGTTCTTATGTCGAGACATCAAATGATAATGATTGATAGATTACCCGAATTCAATAGAATGAACGGTGTAGTTTTCGTTTTACTGCTATGGTGTAAGGTCTGCAGTTGTGACAAATTTCCCCAAGGCAACTTATGTTAGAAATATTCATTATTGATTGGTAGTGAGAAATTTTACAATGCTATATAGTATTGGTGCTATAGGTTTTTGCTTTTATGGTACAACTTAAAATTGTACATTTACGTTATGGTACAACTTCAGATTGTACCTATACTTTTGGGACAAATTCTTTTATGGTACAACTTGAGCTTGTACCTTTATGTGATGGTACAACTTCAAGTTGTAAAGTTGTACCATAACATAATGATACAAATTGCTTTATGGTACAACCTAAACTTATACATTTAATGTTAAGGTACAATTTTAAGTTGTACATTAAAGCACCAATGCTATATAGCATTTTTTTTTTTTTTTTTTGACAATAGGAACACTTATATTGCTCATCAGATGAAATCGGTTACAATGAGTGGAGAACATCCAGAGAAATGGAAACAAGAAAGAACAGCAGCAAACAACCAGCGGAGCACGCCAAGACAACGAAGGAAAAGATCGGGACAGAGGAAAGCAAACATGATCCAACCAGACAAAGACATTCCTTTCTTGAACCATAAAACAGAGCATCCAAACCAACTCAATGCTATATAGCATAATAGAAGTGCTCGATTGGTAGTATTATTAATTGTGAGTTAGGGATTTGAAGAGTAGGATTAGGGTTAATTTTGGGATTTTGGGTGTCTTTTATTAAAAATATGTGTTTTGGGTTTTACTTGTTAATCAAGAAAGTTAATACGAAATTATCCAACCCTAGTCTATATTTCTCTCTCAAACTCAACTCTCTTTCTCTCTCAAAAGGCCTCTGCCGTTCTTCCTTACATTCCTAAAATCTTCTTCCAATCCCCAATTATTATATTATAAATCACTAAATACCTATCAATTCTCAATTTCACAACATGATCGCTAGAACCCTAGAAATAGGTTTCTAACAACATACCAAGAGTAGATACATAGAAGAAACCAAGTTAATGAGGACTCTATCAACCTATGGTAATATCAAGAGTCATTATGTCAAACTTCATAAATTTTCTCTCAATTTTGATAACACACTAGACATCTTTAGAACAACGTAAGAAATATCGAGATATTGTTTAGCTTAACTAACACGTATGAAATATCATTTACATATTCCACCATAATTGTTAAATATAAAATATTTTTTTTCTCCTTCCATCTTCACACATCTGTTTTTTTATCGAATCTATAATAACTTTATTAATAAGACGTCGTGTCTACATTATCCAACAAACTCAAATCAACAAGAATCATAAGGGGCCTATCAAACCAAACTTCCCTCTCATTCCATCTAGTCTCAGTATGAGCCGTGATATGAGCTGCTATGTTTCCTTCTCTTGGAGCATACTGCTAAGTTCCATTCCCAATCTCCCGAAGAAGCCTAAGTATATTATGACATATGACACCAATTTCTGTGTTTATATTATCCGCCGCCACCGCCCACCAACTTATGGGTCAGCGAGAAACATTCTGTTTTAAGGACCAAGTTCGTCATATGAGAATGGTATGCTAACTACATGTCGAACTCTGCTGCTAAGGCTTCCGCCATCTCAGGTTCCCAGCTTCCCAGAATTTTCATTGTTGCCGCAAGGTGAAACTTCCCTTCATCATCGCGTATGACTACTCCCAATCCTATACCCCCAGACGACAGGACGTCTGCATCTTCACGCATCTATGGAGATTGTTTAACAATAAACTTACCCTATTTTATTGAGAAAATGACATGTTTCTCAAATCAGCGTACCCAAAACCTCTTATGTATATGTAGTGATGTCAATTTGAACCCGCCACGTGGGTATTACCCGATTTGACTCGCGATAGGGTAGGTATTATCCGACTCGTAGTAGCGTGGGGCAAAGCATGGGTATCTACTTCCGACCTGCCCTGTCCGGGTGCCATGCCTCGTTCTTAACCCATTTTATCTCAATTTCTTACGTAATCTATACATATTTCTTTTATTTTGACTTTTCTTCAACTAGTTAGAGCCGATCTTTCAACTTCTTTGACTCAATTACCCATTCTATTATCACTATTTGTCATTCATAAAGTGTTTCCCCTTCGTTTTATCGTAAAAATAAAAATTTGCGCGTATTTTTTTCAAATAACATGTAAGAGTGGGTCAATCTGCCCTGTCCCGTACCCGCACGGATTTTACCTGTCCCGACCCACAGTAGCATAGGCCGAGCATAGATATTGAGTTATCCGCCCCGCCCCACCCCACCCCACCCCACCCCATTGGCAGCACTATGTACATGATGTGTCACTTCCAATGTTTTCCCTACAATTACCAATGTCACATATGAATTGTCTTCATAGAACGTTCTTTTGTGGGGAGACTCGATGCTTGCGGGTTCCATCGATTGGTGTTTGGCCCGTAAACACAGTCCGGGGTTTCATAGAATTTCAACTTTCGACGTTCAATCCTGCCTTCCTTCACAATTATGGGTGTTATTTCCTCAATAAAGAATGGAGCTATGTCAGTGGTGTTGGTGTTCGATTTTTCACTCTCGACCTTGTTCCCCCCCCCCCCCCCATCATTAGATCTCTTAATAAAAGAGAAGAAACAAAGATCATACGTCTTATAAGAAACCTATACTAGGAAGCCTAAATATGAAGTAAAATTTGTTAAACGTACGAGACGATAAACACAAGGTTTACGGACGACTAAATAAGCCAACATGTTACAATCTCTATTACAAATACAATGGAATACCCAGACGAGGAGGAGACCATTATCTTCAAAAATAACCCCCTACCTTCTCATCCATAAGATCAAATCGTCGACATTACATATGTCAATGACAACCTTTGCATCGCCACAAACCATAACATTTTGTAAACGCCCCTATTCTACTTTTGACATTTCTCTTGCAAAAATGATTGACCAACCCTTTTAGGCCTGTTCAGATTGGGCTCGCTTATCCTAATTAGGCCTAAATGCGCCTCTTAAAAACTGAGTCCAAATGTCATGGAAGCCCACTAGCGGTTGAAGCCCAGCAGTTTCCATCGTTGCAAACGACCTAAGCGCATACAACCTTGTACTATATATCCCAAAAACCCTACTTCGCCCTCGCCTTCCCATCTGGAGTTCCTGCGGCGCTGCAAATCTCTGCCAATTCTCACCGGTAAGATCCTCTTCCTGCCTTTCTCCCCGCCGTTCACTTCTACGGCTCTCTCCCTCTGTGTTTAGCTAACACCCAGCTCCCTTTCTCTGTTTGCTTGTAAAGGAAGTCGAAAGAGGAAATCGAAAATGAGCCGCGGAGCAGCAGGAGGTGCCGCCGGCGCCAAGGGCAAGAAGAAGGGAGTCACCTTCACCATCGACTGCGGTAAGCCCGTCGAGGACAAGATCATGGACATCGCCTCGCTCGAGAAGTTCCTCCAGGAGCGCATCAAGGTCGGCGGCAAGGCCGGAGCACTCGGCGACGCCGTCGTCATCACTCGCGAGAAGTCCAAGATCACCGTTACCTCCGATTCCAACTTCTCCAAGAGGTAGCTTTCCTTTTTTACCGGAGACTTCGAGCTTTATGGTTCTTTAGTTCCTGATTGTAGCTCCATCTCCTTTTTTGGATTCTCAGGTACCTGAAGTACTTGACGAAGAAGTATTTGAAGAAGCACAATGTCAGGGATTGGCTTCGTGTGATTGCTTCCAACAAGGACCGTTCCATCTATGAGCTGAGATACTTCAACATCGCCGAGAATGAAGGCGAGGAGGAGG